GCCGACAAGCGGGACTTCGTCAAAGGGGAGGTCGCCATGCTCCTCTCAATCAACCACATCAAGGAGGTGAAGTACCCGACGTGGCTAGCCAACGTCGTCCTCGCCCAAAAACCGCCAACATTCAGAATGTGTGTTGATTACACTGACCTGAACAAGGCATGCCCTATGGACCCGTTCCCTCTCCCCAACATTGATCAGTTGGTGGACGAGATGGCGGGATGCGAGTTGATGTCGTTCCTTGATGCCTTCAGAGGGTACCACCAGATTTTCATGCATGAAGATGACGCTGAGAAGACGGCCTTCATGACCCCGGAGGGAATCTTTTGTTACCTCGTCATGGCTTTCAGACTCAAAAACTCCGGCGCCACCTATACCAGGATGGTGGCCAAGATCTTCAGAGCAGTCCTCGGCCGAACGATGGAGGCATACGTCGATGACATGATTGTCAAGAGCAGGCGAGACGCCACACATGCTGACGACCTCAGGGAAATTTTTGAAATCATGAAGGAGTTCAAACTCCGCCTCAACCCCAAGAAGTGTGCCTTTGGCGTCCAAGGTGGCAAGTTCCTCGACTACATGGTCAGCCGGAGAGGCATTGAAATAAATCCGGAGAAGATACAAGCTATCATCAACATGGAGCCGCCCCACAACGTCAAAGAGGTGCAACGGCTGACAGGGCGACTGGCGGCCCTGAGCCGTTTCCTCTCCAAGTCAGCCGAGAGGTCACTCCCTTTCTTCCAGTCATGCGCAAAGCAAACAGCTTCAAATGGACGACGGAGTGCCAGGAAACATTTGAAGAGCTGAAGAGGTACCTTTCATCCCCACCAGTGCTCTCCAAGCCCAAACCAGCGAAACCCTCTTCTTGTACTTGGGGGTGAGCACGTCGGCCATCAGCTCCGTGCTCATCCGTGAGGACGAAGGGGTGCAGAAGGCCATTTTCTACATCAGCAAGACACTTAGGGAGGCCGAGCTCAGGTACTCCCCCATTGAGAAGACGGTGCTACCCATCGTCCATACGGTGAAAAGCTGGGGCACTACTTCCAGGCCCATACCGTCCACGTACTGACCCAGCAGCCCCTTGGCGCACTCATGAGGAGCCCCACTAGCTCCTCAAGGATGGTGAAATGGGCGATCTTTCTCAGCCAATTTCAGATTGAGATCAAGCCAATGTCATCTATCAAAGGGCAAGCCTTGGCCGACTTCGTCACCGAATGCACGGCAAGGGAGACAACCGCTACCACACCCGGGCCAGAGCCTGATGACACATGGATCCTCTTCACCGACGGCTCGTCGGCCGCGAAATCATGCGGCGGCGGCGTCGTCCTCATATCCCCTGAAGGATTCAGAGCTTACTATGTCATCCGCTTCAACTTCAGGGTATCTAACAACGAAGCCGAGTATGAGGCCCTCCTCAGCGGCCTCAGATTGGCTGCTGGCCTAAGAGCCAAGCACATCAGAATCAGGTGCGACTCCAAGCTGGTAGTGGGTCAGGTTGAGGGTACGTACGAAGCAAATGAAGGCCGGATGAAGCAATACAAACAGGCAGCAGAGGAGTTGTTGAAGGCGTTCGTAACCTACGAGATCACACAGATCCCAAAGGCCGAGAACGCCGAGGCCGACATCCTCTCCAAGCTCAGCTCGGATACTCCAGAGCACATCTCCAAGCTAGCCAAGATCCAGGAGCTGAGCATGTCTAGCATCAATGTCAGCCCCATCTTGTGCATCCAACAGCGACCAGAGGACTGGATCTCCGACATTGCCACTTTCATGATGACGGGGGAGCTGCCCCAGGACGAGGAGAGGGCCAAGCTCGCCAAGCTCAGGGCCCCAAGCTACACTATTGAGGATGGCAAACTCTACAAACGATCCTACAATGGCACTCTCCTCCAATGCCTGCACCAAGACGAGGCCGATGTGGCCATGGAAGAAGTTCACCGTGGTGTTTGCTCCTCACACCAGGGCCCTTTCAGTATGTCCCGGCGTCTCGTCGTCCAGGGCTTTTTCTGGCCGACGATGGCGCGGGATTGTGCAGACCTGGCCAGGAAATGTACCACGTGCCAAGTGCTCCAGAAGGCCCCTGGTCGGCCAGCCGTCAACTACGCCCCTGTCAGCACTGCCATTCCATTTTCGAGATGGGGGATTGACCTGGTCGGCCCTCTACCCAGAGGTGCCGACAACAACCGCTACATCATCGTCGCGGTCGACTACTTCACCAAGTGGGTCGAAGCAGAACCTTTGGCCAGCATCACGGGGGCGAGATGTCAGAAGTTCGTCCACAAGAACATTCTCACCCGCTTTGGTGTCCCCCAAGAAATCATATCCGACAATGGCGCCCAGTTCGAAGCGGCGCCTTTTCAAGAGCTCCTTCGAGAGTGGGGAATAAAGCACCGTTTCTCCTCTGTTGCTGTTCCTCAAGGCAACGGGTAGGTTGAGAATGCGAACAGAACTATAATGGAGGGGCTGAAGAAGAACCTACAAAACGCAGGAGGGAGTTGGGTCGACGAGCTCCCCAACATCCTGTGGTGCTATCGTACTACGCCAAGGAGGGCAACGGGTGAAACACCTTTCGCCATATGCTACGGCTTTAAAGCAAAGGCACCCACAGAAGTCACTATTCCCAGCCGACGGGTGGACCAGTATGACCCTGAGGTCAATGAGGAAAACATGAAAATTGACATCCACCTGGTCAAAGAAAGACGTGAACAGGCATTCGTCCGAGCAGAGAACTACCGGCGTCAAGTGAAATCATACTATGACGCCAAGGTACGTTCCCGGAAATTCCAAGTGGGGGACTACGTCCTCCGCCGAAGGGAAGCAAGTCAGCCGACGGAAGGAGGCAAGCTAGCCTTGAAGTATGAAGGTCCCTACATCGTCAGTGCCGTGGTGAAACCCGGCACCTACAAACTTAAACGCCCAAACGGGACCAATGTACCACGAACGTGGAATGTACACCATTTGGTGAAGTTTTATCAATAATCCGAAGGAGGTGCAGCCGGCGAAGCCCTCACCCTTTGACGGATTATTGATTGAACACCACCCTCGGCACTGAGCCACTTATGAATAAAAATCAGGTTTCCTTTGATTTCCTGGAATTCGAGTAACACATTAACAGGCGCCCTCATCGGCCACCTTAGAGCGAAAGGCTCAGGCATGGCCGATGTGGCGCTTCGCATCTGCAGCCTTAGAGCGAAAAGCTCAGGTATGCCCCATTGTATTTTGTATCAGCGAAAGGTTTAGGCCCATCTGAAAGAGCACGTTGTACCGGCCCCTCAGAGTGAATCGCTCAGACAGGACCGACAATGTCCCCAGGACGATGGGCCCGCGTCTTGAAACGGGAAGTTCACCGGGTCGTCCACGCGCCTGATCGCAGGACGACAGGCCTGAAATCATGGCCGAGGTGACAAAATCCCCAAACTCAGGGATGGGCAACGGCAGCCGTTGGAAACCAACCAAAAGTCTAGCCCGCGTCATAAATAGGCGACGGGACCCCCCTGAGATCATGGACGTTATAAACGAAGTCCAAACCGGACGAAGGACTATCGACCCCTTTGGCCGAAGCCTGAAAGAAGGACACTCCCTGAAATAGGGAACGAAAAAAAAAGAGGGAAGCCGAGGAATGTGCACACTTGCCGGCCTCGAGTAGCAAAAATAAATCCCCACAAATCAGCCACACATTTGGCTAAGTGCATATTAGTTGAATACAAAGGTAACACTACCAACAGGTAACGCGGACGAAGCGGCCACCCGCTACGAGGAAAGTGTCAAGGACGGAGCATGCGCCCATAAAATCCTAACCAAAGTGGTTGGGTGAAACGAGGGTGGTAACCTTCATCGGCCATGACCACCTGAAGTGCCAACACTTAGCATGAAAACAAAGAATCATAGCTTGACACTTAACACAATCCTGGAGTGGAACACCGGAAAGGAGGTCTAGGACGAAACGGGCACTAAAACACCCGCAGGAAAATTGAACACACTGATGGCAACCTGTATCGGCCACAACATTTTTGTCGGCCGTTAACGGTGCTAAAATCCAGGCGGTTGCCTACGCCGAAGACTTCTCAAGAAAATTATCTAAGTGATTCCCAAACACTTAGAGAAAATTTCTGAAAAAAGTTCCCTGAGTGAATTCCAACACTTAGAGAAAATTCTGAAGAAAGAAAATGCAAAGGGAAAGGCAAAACACCCGGGTACCTTCATCGGCCACACCGCCCAACTTGGCCGACGATGACACTAAGCAGAGAAAACTACATGGCCCAACACTCGGGCAATCTCCAAACTATTAAATATCGAAGGGACAACCTCAAGACGAAGCGAGCATTCAAACATTTGTAGGTGCCCGTCTCGGCCCCGCCAAACGGCCGATAGTTATTCATGTTCTGGTTTGACACTTAGACAAATTTCAAAGTTGAAATAACTAAGGCAAGATAACAAAAACATTTAAAGCCAAAGGGGACGAGCAATCCATGCAATCCACATGTCATGTCCCATAGGGGAGCACCTCGGCCATCACACTCAGACGGCAAAGGTCAGGCACCCTTATCAGCCACAGACGAAATCAGATGCGACCTCCTGTTTAGATAGGGGGCAGGGGAACAAAGGGGCCGAAAAGAACATCGGGCCGACAAGAACACCACGTGTGGCATTTGGTTCAATACTTGGGAATTTTCCAAAGTATCGGGCAAAAGTGAAAGGGGGTGTAACACCAAGACGACGCGAACACCCACCCACTCAAAGCCCTGATACTTATAGAATTTTCTAAGTCCCAATTCCAAAAACACTTAGACAAATTTTAGGGAAAATGGGAACAAAAGTAAAGGGGAACAAGACGACGACAAGACAAAGCAGGGCCGGAAACATGTTTCATTAATAAATTCATTACATAGAGGGCACTTCGGCCATTACATTCAGACAATGAAACATAAATGACAAATTACAAGTTAAACAGTTATGGACGTATCAGGCCTCCAGAGCGCCCTCATCAGCTGGATGACCCGCAACATCCTGGTTAATGACGAGCTAGGCACCCTCCTCGGTCTCGGCATCCAAGCTGGCCTCTATGGCGGAAGTGGCGGTGTCGTCCAAGAAATCATCTTCCTCGTAGTCCGGTTCGCCGAGGCCGGAACTCTCTATGGGAGCCTGCCTATCGCACAGAGGAAGGTTGATCTGCTCCTCCGGATCCTTCATCAACCTGGGAAGCTGCAGGTTCCGCCTGGCCCAACCCCGAGTATAGTTCAGGGCCCTAAGAGCGCGACTCAGCCACCGATAAATGAGCCTCTGCATCCGATGCTGGCCCATGTTGTAATACACGGACATTTCACGTTCGAAACATTCCTTGACGGTAGGGGACTTCTGCCCCCAGTCTTCAAGCTTGGCCGCTACGACCTCATAACACCAGGGCAGGCGCTCGTCGGCCTTCCAGCCTTCGGCCAGGAACTTCGCCACTGCATCATCAGCGGCCTTCACTGCCGCAACCTCAGCTTCGGCCTTGGCCCTCTCGGCCTCATCTGCCCGCCGACGATCAGCCTCGCGGACACCCTTCTCTTCGGCCAGTTTTGCCAGGGCCTCTTCCTTGGCCGCATCGGCCTCATCGGCCCTTTTCTGCAAGGCTGCAAAGTCTTCCCGCAGCCTCCCTAAGCAGCTCATGGCCTCATAGGCCGAGGCTGCCTTCTCCTTGAACTCCCTCAAGCGGGCAATCTCCCGCTGCTGCCTCTTGTTGCTCTCCATGAGCATGAAGGCACCCTGCAACGGAAAAGGCTATCAGGCAAATGTGCAAAAATGTCAAAGGAAAACAATAAGGCTAAGGATGAAAGGAATTACCTGGACGACAAGGTCCATCCCACCGTCGTATATCTTGACATCCCCTAGCTTGTCAAGATACACCCGGTCCTTGGCCGGGATGGCCTGAGAGAGCACGCTGTGGCCGTCAACGCCATCATTGAAAACCCCCCCGTCCTTGGGGTATTCAACCTCCAGCTTATAAGTGGATGTAGCCACCTCCTTGCCGGACCGCTTCGGCCGGGAGTCCTCAGCAAGGGAAAGGGGTTGAGAACCATCTCTGGAAAGACCAGAGGTAAGGTCCACGAGGGCAGCAGCAGCACTGGACCCTCCTTCGTCCGCAATCGGGACAACTAGTACGCCGGCCTCATCGGCAATGGCAGAGGATGAAGCTTTCTTCGACTTCTTGGCGGGCTGCATACCGGCCTCAGTCAGCTTCCTCTGCCTTCACATCACCACCAGCAGCGGCCTTCGCCGCAGCCTCCTTGTCGGCCAACTCCGCCTTGGCCCTCGCAGCGGCCTTGTTCATCACGGATCGTCGGTCCATTACGAAGTCTGCACAACAAAGAAACAAGTCAGCAAAATAAAAAGACAAAGTAAAATGAGGACGCCGTAGGGGGTATTACCATCAGCTTCAGCAGGAACGCCCAGATCGGGGCCGTCGGCCTCCTCGAAGGTCGTGGTCATCTTCGGCCACAGTTGGAGGTCATCTTCCTTATCACCATACACGAAGTATCTAAAGAAGCCGATAGCGGTCATCTTGTACTCCGTGATGTAATCCTTCACACTCCTCGCCCCCCCTCCAAGAACGCCGCCACCTGAGCATCTAGGATTGAACTCTTGGGCGGGTCATGAAGAGTAAACCTTCCATCATGGCCGACGGAGGGGAACTCAGTGCCACCCTCGCCCAGGGACACGAAGACAAACTTGCTCTTCCAACCGTGTATGGATGAAGACAAGTCCGTGAAGGTCCTCTTCTTCGGCAGCTGCTGCAGAGTGGCGTAGTAGGCGCAATTCATGTGGCTCCCTCGGCCAATCTGATAGAGGTTCATGAAGAGGGCCGTTGTCGGCCTGTAACCCAACTCAGCACAACGGAGAAGGAACCCCACCATCAGCGAGTAGCTATTAGGAGTCAGCAAGGCCGGAGGGAGCCCCACCATGTCCAAATACTCCTGGATGAAGGGATGAAGGGGAAACCTCAGCCCCTTGGCGAAGCTCATCGGATACACTCCGAAGTATCCCGGTGGCGGATTAAGCACGTGGTCCATCGGCCTAGGCGCCCTAACCCTCCCAAACGGCCCCACATACATCTGTGCGACCAAATAATCAGCGGCACTGCTCTCCGGCTTGATGAGGAAAATGTTGGTAAGGTCCAGGTAAGAGAAACCTGGCCCCTTCTTCGGCCATCTGTTCCTCTTCGGCCGCGGTAGCCCCTTCACAGCAGACACCGGCTTCGGGCACAGGATGGTAGTAGAGGCGGACGCTCCGTCCATTACGCGGGTAACCCCTGCATCTTCACCCTCGGATGACGAAGCGGACCCTTCGTCCTCGTCCTCCACGTCCGCATTATCTCCGGATTTATACGGGCTCAGGTGTTCGATCTCTTCGGCGCACTCCTCGATCACATCGTAGTCAAGAGACTTGGCAGAAGGCTCGTCGTCGTACGGGTAATACTCCTCGTTTAAGTATTTCATCTTAACAACTCCTAAGGCACTAAGGGGAGCTACTTTAGATCTAAAGTGTTTTTGTGACTAACACCGGATCAAAGCCTAGAAAGAGCAAAATATGTAAGAAGTAGAAGAACGGATTTAAGAACTAACCTTGAAGTTTTGAAGAAGGTGAAGAACACTCAGCAAAGGCTTTATCTCTCAAAAAATTTTGGGCAGCACTTCGTTACTAAGAATGCAAATGAAGGCAGTCCTCGGAACGGGAGGGTATTTATAGCCCCCCTCCTAACGGTAACTACACGTGGCATCACCTTAGTGGTCACACCAACGGCCACCAATGGGATGCCACCATTCTGTCTATAGGCCAAACCCCCTCCACAAATCAGCGGCCCACCACCAAAGCAGGCCCTACGGATCAAGGAGGGAAAAACAACACAGCCAACGGCCATCCACATCGCACCCGTATCGGCCATCTAAGCGGCCATGCGTATTACGCAAAGGAACGCTTTACAACGGCCACAATAGCCCAAAGGAAGGGAACCTAACGGCCATAAGGTCCTCACCCTAAACCCTTGATGATAACCCTTTGAAAGCGACCTGCGTCCAAGGGTTCTCCCACAGGGTTACCTTGGTCAGGAAATCGCCAAAGGGTTGGATCCAAGGGCAGTATGAGGACCCCACTTCGGCCTAAGTTTCAAGCTACTCCTTCACCCCTCACTCACTATTCGGCCTGAAGCAGTGGGGGACTGGGGGACTACACCGGCCTCAACAATAGCAGGCAAAATGAGAAAATAAAAATATACCAAGTCCACAACTACAAACATCAGACATGCACCACAACGTCAATAACATCGTGGTGCACCATCGGCCGCAGCAAAGCTTGAAATCACAGGACACTTATCGGCTTTGAGACCACAAACCACTCTCGGTTAGGAATCAAAGAACAGGAGGTTGACGTACCTGAATCACCATCGTCCATGTACCACAACGGCCAAAAGGAATGCACAACACCCTCACCGGCCACCCAAGACAATAGACGCCCGTCGTCCTAAAAAAAAGGCGCAACCCCAACAGCCTCATCAGCCCAAAAGGGAAGTTCAACCATCAACGACCAAGGATAGACACTACCTTCATCGGCCATTCATGCCGGAACACTCATCGTCCGCAAACAAGCGCACCAAAGGAGTAACAGCCTTCCTCGTCCACATCAAGGAACGGGTAACGGTCAAACTCAGAACAGGGCCGCCAAACGCCACGACAGGGAACGACCAACGTGGTCCCGCATCGGCCAAGAGCATCAAGCACAGAAATCTACTCTCCTTCACTTCGTCTACATCTCAGCTTAGAGAGTGGGGGACTCCTGATGGAGTATATGGGTCTAGGCCCAAGGACCCACATACTCAGAAGAACAGAAAGTACAAGCCACTACGCATTGCCCTCGTCGGCCAAAGGACCCTCGTCGGCCGAAGAGGGACCGACTCCGAATATGATCCTGAAGCCAGGGAACCAGGGTGTCCTCATCGGCCGTGCCCTCGTCGGCCAGACCCTCGTCGGCCACGGAGGACTCGCAGAACTAGATTTTACACTTATTCATTTATATATCCCATCATTTACTTTGTATTCGGCCCAATAGCGGTCCAGTTGTAAATGGGCCTCCCAAGCCCAAGGCTTGGGAGCCCAGTCCGTATATTTCCTATAAATACTTCCTCTGGAGGTAGTTATAGGGGTACAAAATCATTCTATTGGAGCATTTACTTGCACTTCTCTCTCTAGCTCTCACTTCTCTCTAGATATATACTCTATCACGAGGCACGCCGGATTCCGGCACTGGTTAGATTTTCCTGGAAGTCTCAGGCTAAGCACCGCTACATGGTACAGAAGGATGAAAGCGGACCGGCAGCTAGCTCCCAAAAAATTTTACTTGGATTCTCAACTGCAATATCCTTTATCGAACGGGAAGGTGTAGACCCGGTGCTCGGTGGAATCTGGCCCCTAGCATCCCCCCCACAAGTTCGGTACCTGTCGTTCGGTAGAAAGCTTGAGCCTCCTCTCAATCCAGAGGTTTCAGCAGGCTGAATAAGTCATGACCAAAGTGACACAATTCCCCGACCGGTATGACCCGGATGATGGAACACCGCTCGTTGGAACCCCAATTGCAGACTCACTCCGCCCACCAGCAGCTGCAATTGATAGAGAAGACAACAGAATAAGTAACCCGCCCAACTTCAGAAGCATTGGTCGTTTAACTAGAGAAGACATCCACCTGGAAATTCACCGGTAGCTTCTCTTCATCGGACATGAGTATGCAGAATCATACCACCGGGGAAATCAAAAGCCCCTGGTACCTCCAAGCAAGTGCGGTATCTGCCGATCGGAAGGAAAACACTAGTCTCTTAGCGCAAATGCTTCAGCAAGGTCGATTAAAAATCACAGGAAACATCTTTGTCGGCCGGGAGACGACCAAGTGGCTCTGAGAGGACCCCATCCGGTTAGCAGTTGCAGCCTCCCCCCCGAACGAGAGAAGCTTCTTAAGGATCCCGTCGGCCTGCCTGAGAGGCTTTCCCCGACCGGTATGTCAGGATGACCATACACCAATCGATGGAATTCCAAACTACACAAGTAGTCTTGACTACCCTTTAGGAATCCCTGAACGGACCAGGGAGGATTTACTACAAGGTTCCTGATCGGTTGTCCATCCTAAAACCAGATGGAAGAACATTCGTCAGGAGGGGAAACAGGGGTAAGAATCAACTGACGCATGAACAGGCAGGCCTTCCGCCGTTCGGTGGTTTTCTCACTCAGTGAGTCTTTATGTCAGCTCTGTTACTACCTGAACCATCGGGAACCACTTACCGGCCTCGCATGCGGTGGAAACCGTCAAACACAGTCCTACGCTCGGCCAGCGTCGCCACCTGAACTCCGCATCGGATACTGCCGCACGGCCTTTGGGCTTCTTACCTTGCCGCTCGATCTCCCCACCCGGGACCAGATGTGTCGAATGGCACTTGGCATATCTCAATCTCTGGGATGGCTTTAAGCCCCGTGAAGGGTATATGGTCGTTCGCCTTTTGACTCCATTGGGACATCTCGAACGGAGGTATATTTCTCCCAAATATGCGGCTGGGCCACTCTAAAGACAAAGGTGAGTGGAACTTAAGGTGGGGAATGAGATTGGAACCTCCTTGATGGGCCAATAGTGGGCTAGGCTACTAAGCAGCTCGTGCTAGACTGAAATTCATAAGCTTCTAAACTTATGGAGGGAACCGTTGATCTTGCAAGGGAGGATGCCTTGTTATTTCGTTAGGCTGAGTCACTTCTTCACCGATCAATTCAATTCTCCGGGCCAATAGCTTGGTCCAGCAGCTGATATTCTGACTATTCATCTAAGTACCACCATTTTTTCATTTGCTAATCTAATTTCAAATAGCATAATCAAGAATGTTTGTTATCATCATTATTTATTAGGGATTAAAATATCCCGAATTGAATAATGGTCGAGCGAAACTTTGCTGACAAGTCCAACAACACTTTAATTACATGTGTGGTTTGAGTGGACGCATCAGTCCATCCCTGATCGACCCACATTCATTGACTGAGGCGTCCCCCAAGGGCATTGTCCCATGACGCATTTTAATTAAAGACCATTCATGGTCCCGCTCGACATTAAATGCCCAAACGAGTATTTTACCCAGTACAGGGCCAAGTACTGTAATTAGCTAGAGCTTTTCTAAGAGCATCCGGCAAACCACTAAGTGGTTCTAATAGCACCTGAGTAGTGTGAAAAATAAATTTAGGCCAAGGGTTATTATACCACTTCGGCCGGTAGTCATAAATATTACATATGTGTGTAGGTATATGCTTGTATATGTTGTTCGGTTGTACGGCCGTATTACTATGCTTATTGTGCTGTGGAATCCGTTCGATATGCTCGAGCTGGGAGATCCATGATGTTGGCATGAAGCGCATATACGTTCATGACCGACAAGGAGATGAAGAAATTACAAGCATGCAAAGTCGTTTGATAGACTCGAGCGGAGAAATCAATGGTGTTCAGCATGAAGCGCAGAGACGTCCATGACCGGCAAAGGAAAAGAAATCACAATCAAGCGATGTGCTTGAGCGAAGATCAATGACGTTCGACATGGTGCTTAAAGATGATCATGGCAAAAAAAGGGAGAGAGAATCCTAGAGGTCATATGACGCATGATCTTTCAGGTCATACTCCATGACTAACAATCCAGCCCCACCGTTCAGCACCTAAAGCAAGCTTCACGGGCAGAGGGCGCCTGCAAGACCCTCACACATTCTTGATCACGGTCGGGTCCGCCCATGTATTTATAGGGGGAGGACCACCGTCTTATGTAGTACGATCGGCCCCTCCGCACCATCGTATCATGGGTTCAGAGGCGCCTGTAAGCCCTCTCACGTTCATGATCACGGTTTGGTGCGCCCACACTTCTACAAGGGGAGAACCACTGTCTCATGCAGTTTATCACCTTGAAGGCGTCTTCACGCTCCACAGAGGAAGACCTATATTTTCAGATGATCTGTCTGCTTTTACAACTCCATCCGCCTCACGATCGGCCACCCCGGCACGACATGATCATCATTGTGAGTCCCTGTATATAAAAAAGGGTGGATACGAGATTCCATTCGGAAAACCCAGAGAGAAAACGAGAGAAAAGGAGATCAGAGCTCCTCAATTGTCACCTCAACCATATGTACGAATGAACCGTATCAGAAAAATCAAACGGGGCATTGAAACTGTGGTTTGGAGGCGAAGGGTAGACCATTGGTATGGATGATCCAGATCACAGAAAACCGGATAAATTAGCATCAGAACTATTGGTTAAAAACCTCACTCATTCATAGGTACATCAGACCGTTCTAGTGGGACGGACGGGCGAATGGAGCTATGAATGGCAATGAGTCTCATTTCAGCCAGGGGAGAACGATCCGTTCACCGAAGGCGAGCGAACGGGGATACAAACTGGTTTGGAGGTCATGTAAAGCAAAGGGAGGCCCGTAGTGGTCCTCGGTCGACGGGTCCATCTCTAATAGAGTCCGTGGAACACCCCGTCCAAAGGATAAGGGGTTCTATGACCAGGTTCACAAGTGCGTGGCATACACGTTTGGGGCTACACAAATGTCGCGACGGCTTATTAAGTGTGGTAGCCATCCCCGACCAATTAGTTAGAGTGATCTATCCAAATTAGACCAAATAGGTGATCTCGGCTGGTTCGGTTTGAGCTGGGAACAAAAGCTAACTTTCTCCTCTTGATCATCTTATGCAGCACGAACGGGCTCCACAGCACCGTCATGCCCGGCTCTCGGTCGTGCTCATCCATCCTTGACCTGGGATGGAAAACGCCGCTTTTATGCAGCAAGAACAGGCTCCACAGCACCGTCGTGCTTGGCTCTCAGTCGGGCTCGTCCATCCTTGATTTGGGATGGCGACCGCCACTTTTATTCAGCACGAACGGGCTCCACAGCACCGTCGTGCCTGGCTCTCGGTCGGGCTCGTCCACCCTTGATCTAGGATGGCGACCGCCGCTTTATGTAGCATGAACGGCTAGCTCTTCAGCGCCGTCGTGCCTTCTTTTTGATCGGGCTCGTCGATCCTTAATCTTGGATGGCAACTGCCACTTTATGCGGCACGAGCGGCTGGCTCTTCAGCGCCGTCGTGGCTAGCGTGGGGACTGCTTCTCACCTATCACTTATGAATGCCTTGCGTCCAAGACTATTCAAAGACACTGGTTCAGGGAAGGCATGGAAAGACGTGAGCAAGAGTATACTTTCCCGAGTAGATTTACAGGCTCACTACTCAAGAAAGTGGGGGATTTGTGTTGGGGTATATTACCTTGGCCTACTACTGTTCAGAGCCCCAAGGCCTCACCCCGATATGGAGCCCAGTAGGTAAGGCCCATTTAGGCCCCTCGGGCCCATTGAGAGCCATTTAGGCCTGCTCGGCCTGCCTGGCCCATCTCGGTCCGTTAAGGCCTGTCCAACCCATTAGGCTAGAAAGCCCCTACCCCTTCTATAAATAGAAAACTAGGCTTCCATTTAAAGGATCAGATTTTTGGCCCTTCCCTCCTGGAAGTTCGGCTTCATCTTCTTCCCTGCTTCTTCTTAATTAGCAACAAAGCTCCATTAATGGAGTTCCAAGATATTTGTACTGTGTAAATGGTGAGGAGGGTAATAATGAGAAAGAGCGGGCTTGAACGTTAGCCTAAAAGGTCTCGTGGTTTTCTCCCTTTCGGGTTTCCACATAAATATCGAGTGTTATACCAAATTATGTCTATATCTATTAGTTTATGTTAGATTTAAACTCAACAAGTGTCAAACAGTGTACTCTACAGTAAAATTTATCCCTCAGTGAATTTATTTTCTTATTAAGTGTGAAATCAAAGTGTGACTTTGATTTAGAAACGGAGGTAGTATGTTTAGAATTAAACAAAGAGAAAATTATTAGAAAAATAGCTTAAGTAATCATAGTAACTTAACCAATTTAGTCAGAAAAGTAATTATAACCTTACTTGTTTTGATTATTACACAATTCAGCATGTAGAATAAAAAATTATGTGCTCATTTAAAAGGTTGATAACCTAAAAAGACTAATAACCTAGAAATACGGATCATCAAATGGGTTCATAATTTAAAATTGAGAGCTACCAGAGATTAAGAATAGATCCAGGAATCTGAGATGCCCTGGACTGAATAGGAATTATACTTGGTTAAATATTGGCGGGGTGGACTAAATGTGAAAAATGAAAACATTAACAGTAAAAAAATTAGATCTATATTGCCCTGAGGTTTAACCTATCATAGCTCGTATATAGATTCTTCCTTGACCGGGATAAGGAGGGGGACATCGTACTCATGTTAAGACCATTTGTAGTGGTAACATATTAAGAGTCTGAAATGTTAAAAATGGAGAGCATTTTGGAGGAGTCCAATTCTAGCCGGCGGATGGACTCTCCTGGAAGTGCTACTTTGTCAAAAAGAAAGGAGTCATAGAGTGGTGGGCCCCAGAAAATAAAACCCGTGTTTCTTAAAATTGTTAAAATTGTTTTTTTTTATAAATCAAATTCTAGAAAAAATATATCAACATTCATAACTTTTAAACTATTTCATATGACACCAATATGTAATACTCTCTCCGTCCCTTATAACTTTGCCATATTTTCTTTTTTGGATGTCCCAAAAACTTTGTCACTTTCCCTTTTAATCAATGAATTTGTGGTTTCTGTTATTTCTCTCTCCTCTGCACATATCTCAATCACATAGTTTTTATTTTATTATTTCCCGTGCCGGTCAAACATGACAAAGTATTAAGGGACGGATGGAATATATAAAATGATAAAAAAAAATATGAAGTTTTAACTGTTGAAGTTTTCTTGAACCCCCAAAAATACGAAACACAAATTTTTAATTCATGTATCCTTCACAAATAATTGAGTATTTCATAATCGAACTTTACTTGAACTAAGTTCATTTTTTGTTAACCGAAAAATGTAAAAAAAAGTTAATGAAATTTATTTATTTTTATATCGAAATGTGTATTTTTATTTTATAATTATTTTAGAGAAAAAAATTAAAAGAAAAACACTACTTATACTCCCTCATTCTCAAATGTAAGATACATTTACTATTCACTTGGTCAATATAAATTACTCTTAATCTTTTAATTTATATATCAAAAGTTTATGAAATTTGAATTCCTTTTTACAGGTTTTGTAGCGGTTTTAATGTAGTTTCTAAATATGTAAATTTTATTTTCTAAAACTAATTTGAGTGTTGACAGGGATGAATTTGGTTTATCGTCGATCGAACATCGTAAACCGTAAAATATCTTACAAATTGGGACGGGGGGAGTACTAAATTGATATGTAAAAAATTATGCTAAATGTATTTTATTGACGATGCTGGAACGGAAATAAAAATCTAAACATTGTTTTCATAGGAACGGAGTTCATTTTTGACATTTTGATCCTACCACTAAGAATGGTCTAATAACTTGGAGAGTAGAGGCGGAGTAGTGAACTTCAGAAAACACTTGAGATGGTAAATTTATTTGTTTCACGCATATACGATACTAAACT